AGGGTCGAGAGACGGTGTACACCATCACGCATTACATTACGATATGTTACGTTACGTTATGTTACGTTGGGCTACGTTACGCTACATTACATTATGTTACGCTACGTTATGTTACGCTCCACTAAACTACGCTATAATACATTAAATTGCATTACATTACATAACATAACATTACATTACATTACGTTACGTTATATTACATTACAGTAGGGCATGCGTGTATACTTACTAAGTGTACGATATGTACTGTAATATTATTGCGTGTACTCCTACGCCTACGGGTGACGGACGCGTGAGCGTGAATCCGGTGCTATTATTTAAAAACATGAAAACGTGTTGTAAAAGGATATAATCGTAACCTAAAAAGTGGGTGTGACATCATGATTCTAAAATGTAATAGCTCTTGACGTAAAGTGACGAGCAAAATACGTGACACTTTATGCTTATGGTAGTAATGATATTTATCATTTTTCTGACAAACAACTCGAGGCTGCCCCCTCAAGCCGTACTGCTACGATATTCTTGGCTTGAACGCGTCGGATGCTTTTGGTTTATGCCAATTCAATTGAAGGGTTATGACATCATGATTCTAAAATGTAATAGCTCTTGACGTAAAGTGACGAGCAAAATGCGTGACACTTTATGCTTATGGTAGTCATGATATTTATCATTTTTATGACAAACAAGTCGAGGCTGCCCCCTCAAGCCGTACTGCTAAGCCATTCTTGGCTTGAACGCGTCAGAAGCTTAGCTTTTGGTTTATGCCAATTCAATTGAAGGGTTACTGCGACACGAAGCCACATTGATGTCGGTAAGTGTCAGAATGGTTTGGCTGACATTGTCGTTGACATGACTGACAAATCACCGCTTAATGACACGCCCACTCAATACCAAACAGTAATCAGGAATACGTGTGCGCATGCAGGCCACTGACGTAATCAATCCGATACAAGTGAATTCTTGGCCGCACTGCTTTGAATTGTCATGAACGTCAAATATCAATTGGCACCGGCAAATTGGACAAGCCACGGCAGCTACAATATTTACGCAAGCACACACTAATTACGTCCACACGCCCACGCAAGCATACCAACCCGCACACACGCGCTCACACCTACGCACGCAAACAAACTCCATCCGATCCCACACACAACCAAACATGCACACGCAGGCTCATGCGCATACCTGACCCCATACATAGACCAACACGCACGCGTGCGCCCACAACCCAACCCGACATCCCATTACCAAAACCCACACGTACACGCAAGCACGCAACCCCACCCGACCACCTACACAGCCCCACACGCACAAACCTGTACACGCGTTTCATATACACGCATACCTGACCCCACACACAACCAAATACATACGTACGCACCCCAGTCGCGCGCACGCACGCTCGCATGGAAAGAATCCTTTTTAACAAGCGCCGATGTTATATATATATATATATATATATATATATATATATATATATATATATGTGTGTGTGTGTGTGTGTGTGTGTGTGTGTGTGTGTGT